TCCGAAACGAATAAATTACTATTTATTTTTAAAAAACTTTTCCTGTACGATGAATCGAAGAAAATAAAAGTCGACGAGACAATAATCGTTTCAAACGTGTTATCATATATTATTCGAGTTATACAAGGAAAAATCTTGTACAGTGCGTATAATAAATACATATAATAATAGGCACATAAAAGGAAACGGAGACAAAGTTATGTTAATTTCAGAGCACCCGTGTGAACGATGCACGATTAACGAGGCCGCGTTGGGCAAATTTTATTTACTAATAACGAATAAAATAAATATCGACATGGAAAATCCATTACTGAGCTGTAGTTTGAAAATGAATTTACGCACGATCGTAGTTGGCGAATTAAAATTTTTATTCGTTGGTCGCTTGATAAAATTTGCCTAACCCCGCCGTGAGGAAACTGTAAACTTCAGGAAAGCCTTTTCAAACGTATAATGAGAAAATGCGTGTTTATATTAACTGAAGAATCGTATGAAAAATCTTTGTGAACTCGAAATTTGCAATATTGATTATAATCTAATACGCTGGCCGATTCGATTTTAATTAAATTCGGTAATACCTTGTCTCTACAATCTAACAATACGTGGTATGTATTAAGTGATCCGACTTCTGTGTCTTAACCCTTTCAGTAACCAAAATAAACTTTTCCTTTGGTAATACACTTTACTGGAAAATGTAAAGTTATATACATTTCTAGAACAAATGCATTAATTTTAATAAACGTCTTAAAAAATTTATATCTTCCAAGAAGTATGAATGTCAAGATTTGGTTGTGAATATTTACACTTTGTCTCGTTAAGACACAGACGTCGTTAAGGGCGGCCAACGTGTAAAAAGTAATTGCAAGCAGAGTTGAGAAAATTTTATTATGATTAATAACGAATAAAAATGTCAGATTCGTTCGTGGAGTTTGTTTATCTCGGTATTGGTTTAAAATATTCGTTAATTTATGAACGAATTTACAAATTGAGTAAAATTTGCCCAACTCTGATAAATAATAAAACAAAAGGAAATTTAAATGTCTAAACGTAACTGCGTGCAACTGTTGTTGCACTTACAAACTGCATCGAGTCGAGAATGCACGGTCAAGTTTCGTTTTGACGCGCGTCTTCGCGATTCGATGCGCGGGAGAAACACTGAACAACTGAATCATAGTTCGTACGCGCGCACTATCTTGCTGATATGCTCACGATATATTGTTTGGGCCGGCGGGGGCCGTCGGATAAATAAATACGTCTGACAAATAAATAAATAAATAAATTAATCGATCACGATTTACATCTAAGCATTTACGACTAAGCTTTCGTACAAAAATCCTAATCTTAAGAGAGGAAAGTAGAAGATCTTTGATTGTTGGACGGAGTCGTGCAAAAAAGAGGAGCGATCTGAAATCGTTTCGTGTGCCTTTCGGTAGACCAGAGATCGAAAAGGTACTGGAAATAACTGTCATACGTTGGTTCTAAGCGAAACAGTCGTAAACGATCGAAATAATGCCATAACTGTCGTCGATCACGGTTCTACTTCGGTTCCATTTCAGTTTTAGGCGCGGTTACAATAGTATTAATCTCTATATCGGTTTACTATTAATTTTACATATAATAGATGAAGGATTGAGTCGAAGGCTATAATAATATACATTTCTAAATACATACAAATTTTAGTTAAGCGAGATTATTGGAATCAAAAGGCGGGAATGGTTATTAATTCGTTTAAATTCTAACAAAAATTAATTACAATTAATAAAAAATTAAAAGTTTAGCTACAATTTTATTATTAATGTTATTGCTATAATTATATTCCATCATAATGAATATTCTTCGTTAGTACTTTTATCGTATCCATACATCAATCTCAATATTATAATTAATTTTCGGTCGTTTTCGTATACTCTCGTCTTTCCAAATTTATTATATTTAATTTAAAATACCCACGTTAAACAAATATAGTGTACAGCGATGTTGGGTTACCAAGTGGATCTATAATAAAGTAAAGACAACAAAAATATATAAAATTAACAAACTATTTCCGTTTTTTTAAATATGAATGCCATTATAACTTTCACTCTAACTCGTCGCGTGATTATTATACGTAGAATCAAAGTAAATCCGATGGGAACTATAACTGAAACCGAAATGGACCGTTGTTTCAATGACAGTCGCGACACTGTTTCGGTTCTTCCGTGTCGAGACCGGAAATCGACAAGTTTTCAATCCCCACGAACAGACTCTTAGTGAAACTAAAACGGTGACAAGGTATCGAGGATGTACAGTCCATCGTGACTAACGAATGTAAAATAAATAAACACTATACAGGGTGTTCAGCCACTCCTGGGAATAATGTTAATGAGAGATTCTAGAGGCCAAAATAAAATGAAAATCAAGAATATCAATTTGTTGATTGAGCCTGGGTTAAGAAGTTATTAAAAAATTAAATTACAAAATTTCAAATCATTCTGGAAAAATTATTTTCGGTTGCGGGGGTCAATTACAATCATTTATGGTGAATAGACATACCCCCGAAATCCTACGTAGTATCAAGAAAAAAATTCTATACCGTAAATACAATATCTGATCCTGACATTCCGATTCCCCTGAAACTTCAAAATGTTTCAAATCATTCTGGCAAAATTATTTTCGGTTGCGGGGGTCAATTACAATCATTTTTGGTGAATATACATACCCTCGAAATCTTTTGTACTTTCGAAAAAAAAATTTAGGAAGGTGGACAGTCGACAAAATTAAAAAATTTCAAATCATTCTGGCAAAATTATTTTCGGTTGCGGGGGTCAATTACAATCATTTTCGGTGAATATACATACCCTCGAAATCCTTTGTACTTTCGAAAAAAAAATTTAGGAAGGTGGACAGTCGACAAAATTAAAAAATTTCAAATCGTTCTGGAAAAATTATTATCGTTTGCGGGGTCAATTACCCCCGAAATCGTACGCACTTTTGAGAAAAAAATTCCTTACCGAAAATCTAATGTGTGGCCGGAAATGTTTCTACAACTTTTTAACGAAGCCTCAATCAACAAATTAGTATCCTTGATTTTCGTCTTATTATGGCCTCTAGGATCTCCCATTAAAATTTTTCCCAGGGGTGGACGAATACCCTGTATAATATTGGTACACATTTAAACGTTTAACCAACTTTGCACACCTTGTCTCCGCAACAAAATTCTATTTATCTAAAGAGAACGATCTGTTCATCCTCGAGTTATCCTAACGTAATTTTATGTCGACGGAGAAACGAAACACTAACGACATTTCTACGTATTGTACGAAGAAAAACAATGATTAAAGTAGTCATCGTTATATCAGCTACTATAGGTAGCATCATCTACGAGATTATTCTCTTTTGCATGATACCGTATTGATCCGTCGTGTTGGTACGACCGATCGCGATAGTACAGGTTTGTATACCTAATGGAAGAAACATAGCAAGGGCATATCAATTTTAAAGAGCCGTAGTTCTCAGACGAAAAATAAAAGTGAGATTAATTTACATACATTAAGTACAGTGAGTCGCAAAATTATTCGTTCAGTCGAGAATGCGACAAGCGTTTCTTTGATCGCATTAGTTTTATTTTAATTTCACGTTGCGTTATCGTTACTTGTATTAACAGTGACTCGTAATTTGCTTCTTGTAATTTAATTCGTTTATCACGCATTCGCGCCCGAGCGAACAATTACAGGGAAAAACACATTCGAGGGTTTGCGACTAGTAGTTTGTTAATGTTATCGCTTAACAAACCTCTCGTGCCTTCGAGTACCTCGCTATATTTGTTCCAATTAACTATACTTGCGCGCGCGTAAAGCGGTAGACTCAAGTTTGGTAACAGAAGATTGTCGGTGACCGTTTCTATGAATACAAAAACCATCAAAATTTTATCTCGTGTAAGGTGATCGGCCTCTCAAAGCGCGACGATCGACGAGCCTACCGCTGATCCTAATTCTAAGATGAAAGATGCTTTGTTTCATTATTATTATTCTCAAAAATACTGTACACAAGAATACCTAATTTACGTCGAAGCTCGTTCAATGGCGCTCGAACGAGCGTTGAAACACTGGAAGCAGGGCTTAAAAAGCTTCCGAAAAATAATACTTTCGAACAGAAAAGTTCCGATCGAAACCGTTACAAAGAACTTCCATTCCGATTAACCTAAATTTCAGGTTGTAAATCGTTTGTTTCAGAATAACAGATTTAATAGCTTCGTATAAATGCGCACATTACAACTAAATAGATACATTAAAAAAATGAAATATTGTATGGAACAAGAAGATTATACGTAAAGATAAGTCGAAAGTGTAAGGTTTGTTCGTACGATGCTTCTTCTCCAAGATAGTTGAATTTTAAAATACATATGTCTGGTACAAGTGAAATTCCTTACGATTTGGTTGACGCGTCTGACCATTCATTTACTGTTTCTACTTTTACCGTGCCTATGAATTTTCGTAGTCGATTTGTATTTCTAGAATATAAAGCCTCGAACGGAAAAGTTTTATTCTTCATTTTCAATTTGTTTTTTCTTGTAGAATCACCCTTTTCTCCATTGATACTCTGTATAAAAGAAGCTTGAAAATATCGTTTAATAAACGTACTACGTTCTCGTCAATATTAGCAGTATTAGAGTTTTAACATAACGTTATGGCTAATATTTGGAACAATATCTTCTTATAATTAACGTTTGTTGTCTTCTTGAAAATTTAAGTTTGAAAAAAATAATGGCATAAGAAGGTTAACTTGAACCGAGTCCGAAATGTAGGTTCTCTGTAACAGTTATTCGAAATAAAAGTTCTTCGTGACCGTTCGAAGAACCTAAATCTATGTTATAACAGTTTTCAAACCCTGACTGGGAAGTACGTAAGTACGATCGAACTGATACGCTTCTTGTTCTCGACTTAATCAAGAGAAGATAAAATAGGGGACTACGATAAAGTGAACCGAGTTACTTGTTTCGATTTCTCGGTTTCATCTTTTCCGGTGGCGGAGTTCACCTTCTTAAGAAACGGAAGAACCCCCGACCCTTCTCTGGCGGAGGCGCCATCAACATCGGGACTTGGTTTTTATGCGTTATGTGAATCTGAAATAGTCGACAGTTTTAAGACTCTATTAAACACAGCGAAATCTTCGTAACAGAAAAGAAAATAATGTAGGCGCCATTAATCCTTAAATGGACTCTCAATCTCGATTGAATTATTTCACTTAATATTGATCTTTTCCAAATTGGTAAATGGAAATCAACTTTCCATTAAAAAATAATGAATTAATAGAAGATTACATAAGTTTTCAAATAATTACATTTACATATATTAAATAATTATTAGTTTAAGGGTTAAAGTTATCCAGTTACAATTTAATTTTTAATAGACTTCACTCTAATAGTCTTTTTCTAGAATTTTATCGCGGAACAAAGATTCGTTTTTAGGGAAACAGAACAACTAACACCGAACGTTCAATGTTTATAAAATGTTGACTCACAGTGCATGGGCCCTGCATCCACGGTTCCCCATCGATCTGCATGGGGAATCTCTTGCTCGTGGTGATGGTGACACTGCTGCACTGGGCCAATCTCCTCCCGGAATGACGAAGTCCTGTTTTCACCTGACCCATGTGCAAACAGTTTTCTAAACCGATCACCTCTATGAGATTGTCTCCGATATCTGTAAACGTTCGAATGGTATTGGCGACGTTTGATTATAGGGCGATCAATCTACAGTAGCTCACGAACGTATTCGAACGCTTCCAATCTACATCGTTAACAAATAGAATATACACGTTGGGCTTGAGTTTTCAAAAGAAGGTTGTAAGTAAAGTTATATAGAAGTCTCGAGAATGTATATGTAACATTACAACGCATACAGAATTTACACGACATTTAGTGTAATACCGTTTTCGGTCGTCACAAAAATATTCGAACGCGTGAACAAGAAGCGTATTTCTAATGAATGGAATGTAAACATTAAACTTTAGTCGATTCCGAAACATTGCGTGGTTCATTCAGATTTCGTAGAGTATAATCTTTTATAATTATTCTAATCATGAGCACGAAAAAGTCAAAAACCAGTAAATGTGAATGTGAATTAATACTGAAGTTGGATAATGAAAATAAATTTTGAAATTGCGAAATTATTAAATTGAAGTAAATCTACGGTACATTATATAATAAAAAAGTCATAAACTGAAGGAAATATTACTAACAAGAAATGTACGGGAGGTCCAAAGAAGCTAACGCCCAGAGAGGAGAAAATGATTATACGTGAAATTAAGATAAATCCAAGCGCATCTGTACCGAAACTTGTGGCAATTGTTGCAAATAGTTTTGGGAAAAATGTACATCCCGAATTATGTCGTAGGAAAGGAGAAAATTTTCAATTTTCACTGTCTTAGAACAGTCTAATAATTAAAAGTAGTTAAACTTTAGACGCGTGCAGTTTCGAAACTACTCATTTTCTGCATAACTGAACCATCGTTGGAAGCGGTAAATCTTCCTCTTTAAAATGGTTTTTAGTTTTTGTTGATCCGACTTACCGTTTTGGAGATATCGTAATTTATGTAAAAGGGTATTTTTCTTAATTTGACTATCCTGTCTCCGTCTGACGCGTCGCGTACGGCCTCTCTCTCGCGCGTGAGTCGAGACGCACTGTTTACTATTTATGCGCAAGGTCATTCACCTCGCGTCAGTGAAACGTAAACAAACACTTCGGACCCTTATATCTCCGGAACTAGCCACCGCATCGACTTGAAACTAAAATCGCTATACCTCCGGAACTAATAAAGCTATCGACTTCTTCGAACGCTCGTTTTAACCCCTTAACCTACGATTTATGTTTCAACAGCCTGGGCCCAAAGCGTCAACAAGATCGCGCAGCCTTCGAGTCATTTCGCGGTTCGCGTTGTACTAAACGCGCACGATGTACCACGAGCCATGCCCGTAGTATTTACATTTGGCCCGACCGATGTACTACGAGCCAGGCTCGTGGTAATCAGTTTTGGTCCGAATAGAATACTACGTGTCTCACACGTAGTTGTAGGTTAAGGGGTTAAAGGGCATTTCATCCTCTATCCAATGGATATATCACCTATTATAATTTATACCATCTTCTATATTTATTTTGACATTTACTTTGACTCTATGCATCCAAAGAAGTTTCAGCAATTCCTACTGATCGTACGACTAATGTATGATAAAATTAGATCGTAAATGGTTTATTTAATTGAAAATGAATTAAAATCTGTATACAGAATGTATTGACTTGAAACAAAATTCGTTTTTAAGGACGTTTTATCTTCTATCCGATGAAAATTAAAAAATTTCGACGTAGTTTGTAAAGTTTCTGTACGACGTTAAAGTACTAATGCGCGTTTAGAATAAAATTGAATATTTTTCTAGAGGTTCTTAAAACGTATGCTTGAAGAAAAAATATGCGACATAAAAAAAAAGGATATCTTATGAATAAACATCAAAACACAATTTTCTATACATATAATGCAAAAATTAGAAGTACGTTGCCTTGTAAAAGAGAAAAAGAATTATAATATTAAGACTTATTCGTACGTCCGAATACTTTCGAGACGTTCGAAAACGGTATGTTTATAATTAATTGCCCTGTATATTCTGTAGGTGTTGTCGGATGTGCTTATAATTTTACATATACATTCTCGAGACACTTGTGTAACTTTACTTACAATCTTATCTTGAAAACTTAAACCTACCGTGTGCATTCTGTTTGTTAACGATGTAGATTGCAAGCGTTCAAATACTTTCGTGAGATAATGTAAATTGGTTTTTGACAAATACCTTGTATCGCGGCTGTGAGATCGACCGAATTAAAGCTACTGGTGCTGAGTTCCTTGTCCGGTCGTTTTTTTCGTTTGCCCAGTCGGTGTTTCTGATGTTGTTCGCCCCAGAGATTCGAGCCTCCGTGAGTAAAAGGAATGTTCAGTAACGCGACTCCTTGAAGGGAGGGTCCGTGAGCCAAATCCAACGGCACTCCGTCGCACTGCGAACGTGGAAACCCCATAATCGTTTAATAAACCCATTAAATTAACACCGTGATCGCCGGCGGGTCAAGCATTCCTTTGTTATTTTGCAATTTCACAATTCACCGTGTACGCGAGACTTTAACGAAAGGGTTAGATATAAAATATTCGAGCACGAGCGGGTAAAATACGTACAATGATTTCAAGGTCTTCGTGAAGATTCTTGCAGCTGGCAGCGAATTGTTCCGTGGTCGCGTACTCGAAGTACCATAGCTTATTTTTCATCCTACTGTTGAACTTCTCGGGGTTCTTCTCCCTCTCCATGTGGAATTTCACGCATATCGCCGCGTCGACGCCAACCGAAAAATAATTATTGATGATATTGTATGGAATACTGTCTTGGTTCGGTTTCTTCTCATCGTTCTGATCCAGCACCTCTATTTGCCAACGATCCATCATCACGGACGTCGCCTTTTCTATTTTCTGCAAGTTATTATGTTGCTCAGAATCGTATTTTCTGCGTAATACATACAAGCTTAATATCTATAACTTAACTCCATTAAATACTTAGTATTAATCGAATCGATCATAAATATTATTCGACGATATACATATTAGCACTATTATTTCTTTTCAATTCTATGTTACATTTTAATAAATCAAATAATTTCAAACCATCCTTTTCATACGGTAACAAATAGAGAATGACCATCCGTTTTATCGACAAAAATAAATGTTTTTTAATTTTAACCCTATTAAATCTATTGCCCTATAGTTATATCATTTTATCGATGATTTACTTGTTGCAACGACAATCTACGTACTTTGAGGACTTTGTGGATAGCTTCGCCCTCGTAACCGCCACCCCACCGCAAACACCTCGCAAGATCGTTGCCTGTACCCAACGGAATAACGCCTACAGCGGGCTGGTGTTCGAATTGAACACGATCTAAAGTGTAAAGATACCCTGTATACTCTGCACACCCAGTATACTTGCAATAACTAGTATCGTGGGTCATTTCTCCGCTCCAAAACATACTATGTAAAATATACACGATACCAGTTAAGGGTTGTTGCTCATGGAAGCCCCTCCAAAAAATGTTATAAATCATACCCATGGTTTCTAAAACCCAGCCAACGGTACCGTCGCCCCCGCAGCAGATCACCTTGAAGTTCTCCACGTCCTTGAACATTTGCAGGGCCTGCATGGGTCCACCCATGGCCAGATTATGAACTTGTCGCGGGTTCAAGATGTATTGGAACTTCCTCAGCATGCGTTCGCCTTGTCTGCCACCGGATTTTGGATTTATGAAGACTAGCAGGGGCACTATACCGGGCGGTGGGGTGATTTGGAAGGACATCGCTGGCTGCTGGTTCGACGCGTTGCCGGATGTTAAAAACCCAGTCTGGAAAAGAGAACGGTCCCGGTCAGATTATGATAAAAAATTGAGGTCCGATTTCTTTTAAATGCCTGATTCAAAAATGAATTCAACGACCAACTGTACATATGTACTTTTAACTTTACCAATTCAATACTCATGACATATAGGTATGATTCATAACTTTAATTCTTCGTATATTTAAAATTATTGAGTATCTACACCCAATATTTAACACATATCATTAGGAATATATGTATAATCACGTCGTACAATCGTGGTTCTTCCCTTGTTAGGTACAGTATTGTCGAAAATCATTAAATAAAATTTATTCGATCGAACTTACGGAGCTCATGGACGACGAATCCTGGCCATGTTTGCTTCCCCGTTTGCTATCCCGCGACAAGGATCTTTGTCTGTCCAGGACGATCGGACATATTGCTGTAGGCGGCAGTATATGAACCGCAAACTCGCCAAGAGTGCATTCCGTCCTCACTTGCGAGCCGCATCTGTTATGCAACTGCAATTTTACCGATTATATGAACATCGTAACTTTATAAAGTCGTAACAAATTTTTTATTCATCACATTGTACCTATCGCTCGATACTTCCGAGTTACGTTACATAAGTGTCGGTTATTGATATACAACGACAAATTTTCCTATTTCCCAAAACCAATAAGAGGTAGAGAGGTTTTATACAGGGTGGTCGGTCACTTCTGGAAAAAATATTAATGGGAGATTCTAGGGACCAAAATAAGACGAAAATCAAAAATACTAATTTGTTGATTGATTCTTCATTAAAAAGTTATTGACGTTTAAAGTTACGCCTGTAGAACAGCAATCTCCGAACAGCTGCGTGCGCGTGATAGTGGTTCGTCGTTCTACAGGCTTAACTTTAAACATTAATAACTTTTTAACGAAGCTTCAATCAACAAATTGGTATTTTTGATTTTCGTCTTATTTTGGCCTCTAGAATCTCCCATTAAACTTGTTCCCAGGGATGACCGAACACGCGGTATACAAGAGTGCAACAGATGCCAGTATTTACGTTATTTTTCAGGGATAGAAATTAATTTTCGGCTCTGTTATAGTCGTTTGTAAACGTTATTGTATTTTTAGTATTAAAATAATTTCCAATTTTCACGCTGTCGCTAAAAGATTCGGAAGATTTACGAAATTAAGTATTACTTACGGTCAATTGACACCATCTGCAGTGCAGACCCGTGATGCCGTTGTAACTCTTTATGGTCTTTCTACATTTGGAACATTTCCCATGACAGTTACCCTCGACCCAGTGATGAGTCATCGTTTGCGACGTTTTCTTGCTCTTTACGTAAGTGGCTATGCAAGATGCCGGCGCTCTCTGAACGCACCTTTCGTGGACCGTGTACTTGCAAACTGCATGAAAGCGACACAAAATTATACTCTTCTCTTACGAGCTTCCAGCAGTGGAAATCGCTTTTGAAACTATTTTAAAAATTTTTTGAAAATATTTTTTAACAACAGTGGGGATTCGAACGTATTATCGCCAGATTCCTAGTCAATAACAGTAAATAATTCATTTACTAGGTGCGTACAAAACTTTAAATCAAAATACCTCAAAAACGAAGGTCCATTTTCAAGAAACCCTGCAGAGTTTTTTGATACTAGACATGTAGTATAACTTGTACCTACTATCGTTTCACAAACGATTTCCACTGGAAGCTCCTCTTGTTAGAGCCCAATGGGGACGGTGACTACGAATGTACTCGATTTCTATTCGATACTGTTTAAAAATCGATGACTAGAAGAGTCTTCGGGTACTCACAAACGCAACAAAGTCCTTTCTTGCCGAGGCCAACCAACATATTCAAACAGAGATTGCAATAGGCAGGCTTGCTAAAGTGCTTGAGCCTCCAGAGATGATTTCCGTCCTCTTTCTCGTGCGAGTCCAGACCCAGGAGTACCAACAACGGAATCGTCGTCAGACCACCCCTTTTCCATTCCTCCAGAGACACCGTGCCATCAGCATCGTAGTCTATTTCTACCATCATGTCTTGCAGTATCTATAAATACCGAGGATTTATATCCAGATATCGCTCGTCAATTTCCCGTCTCTTCGCTACGTGAAACAAAAAAGGACACTTTCGGGTACCATCGTCTTTGGCTACGATTTTTCTAACGCGAAACGATTTACATATTTCGTAACGGGATCTAGAGTCGGGACAAGATCGGTGGAAAATTTTGATCGTGTTGATGTGCACAGGCTCATGAATGTATTCGAATGATAACATATTCCGAATTGAAATTGATACGACAATTTCAAAATATTTACTATACACATACTTCACGGTTTGTGTCAATTTTAATTAGGAATATGTCATCGTTCGAATACTTTTGCGAACCTGTGTAACTGCCTTCTGTTACAGTTACTGGTCGAAATACGCGTGGTTATCGTACCGTAGGCGACAAGAACGAACAGTTGATATTCCGACTCACCGGTTTCAATTCCGAGACGTCCCATTTGAGATACTCGGCGACATTCATCATCTGATTAACAATGCAGTCCATCTCCTAGGAATACGCGATAATGATATTAAATGTAAGATAACGACGCTCTCGCATCGATCTGTTTCGAACACACTGTGTCTATTGGCAGATTTATCTACAAATTATCAGATTCCATACTGAATATTAGAGGACTTGTAAGCAGTATTTGTTAGCAATCTACGTTAAATTTTATTTATGCAACGATAAGAATCTTTTTAATTAGAAGAAAAAAAATATTTTAATGTAACTGTCGACACGAAGGGTTTCGATAAAAATATGTGCAACGAAAAAAAAGAAGAATTGGCTCGTTTCACTCACGTTGGTGTCAAGAACGCCATTTCCATCCGTATCGTACAGTCGGAACATGACTGCAAGAAAAATAGGGTAAATGAATTAATGCACATTGAAATTGGCGTGCAACAAGTTGCAGTAGATATGCAAACTCGAGGGCGACGTATTGGGCGCGTGTGTGTGAGACTAAAAGGTGTGCTCGAACGAAGGTTTAAGAATCGCGAGTATCGATTTGCAGCTCGTAGAGTCAACGGGTTGCCAATTAATTATTTTTTATATTTAGCTCAATTTAGTTTTATTTTTCTTTTATATTTTTGATCTATTTGTTAAACGTGCGAGACCTTTCGTATCTGACGAGTCTTATAAGCGATTTTTAATGAAATTCGACTGAAACTTAACTAAAATTTTAGCCTGAAACTAGAAATAGATTTCGAGTATAATTGGAGGGATATCTATCTTGAAGGGAAAGGATTACTTACATTCTAATTTATCCTCCGGTCTACCAGCTTCCAGGAGAGAAAGATAACAGACGATATCCTTGAGGCTGACTTTAACCGAATGAACGTCTATCGTGCTCTGCTTCCTGACAAGATGTCTCATCTCTGTAATTCAACGAATAAACGCGTAAACGATCGCGCTGGGTTCTAAATAGGAACGATTTCATTGTCGATCGATAAAGACACCACAGATTCGTAGAGTATTTTGCTAACGATTTAACTTCTCCACCGTGGAAAGTACACCGATGCATTATTTTTAGCCGAAGTGGTTTCTGTCAGGTTGGCATTCGAGAACCTGTTGCTTCGGTTAAGGATTTAGAAGCCAAGCATAGATGCGTGCGTACGAGACCGACTCTAATTATAACGATCAAGCATTGCACGCGCGCGTCGAGTTGATATACGGTCTATGACGAGTATTTTTAGAACGATATTTGTAAGCAGACATTGAGATGTATACTTAATTTCGAGCGATGCCGTAAGCGATAATCAGACGTCGCTCGATCGTCGCAAACGTCTCTTCTACCTGCAAACTTCTCACAGAGGTATTCTACTTTTCGTCCAAATCGACATCGACCTCCAATATTATGTGCTCGTCGATCGAAACTAGCTAAACCTGTGTTTCTTGAAACCTTCCTTTCTCATGAATCCCTCTTTTCACGCCTTTAGAAGACAAAGGGAGGTACCGTTTCTCAAATTAATCACTCTTCTACTTGCAAACTTCTCACAGAGGTATTCTACTTTTCGTTCAAATCGATATCGATCTCCAATATTATGTACTCGTGGGTCGAAACTAACTAAACCTGTGTTTCTTGAAACCTTCCTTTCTCATTGTTAGGTCCTTTACCTGTAGCAGTAATAAAGACCCAAGGAATCGGTACGTACCGTCGAATAACTTCGTTTATTACTTAGTCGCATCTGGTTACCAGAACCGTTAGCCTTAGCAGTAGAGTCTTTGTGTTGCATTTCTCACGTCGAGGAATTGCTTGGCTTTATTACTTTATTACGGCCAACTTGGAAAATCCGGACCTTCTGTCCACGTCACTGCCGTTTGCTATTTCCACCCGAATTTTAGCCAGCCAATAGACCAATGAGAAACTGTTTTCCCTCACCCTCAAGATTCAAAAATTGTACGCCTACTCGGACTGTTTGGAGAAGAGGAATTCCTCGCTAGTCAGTCGCTAGGCAGTCGCTATACATCTACGTTAGAATAAAGTCTGTTTGCTAAAATACAATTACACACGCGTCAAGTTTTCATTAATTACAGTCCACTGTTCTCCATACTTCGAGGAATCCTAATTGATTCCAAGCGTCGTTTAATCGTCGCTAAAAACTGTCGACGCTGCGACGCACATACACTCATGAATCCCTCCTTTCACACTTTTCGGCGTCAAAGGGTTAATCAGGCGTACCGTGTACCGGTTTTTTAAGAAACGAAGTTTCGTTGACACCATTGTCGATACTTCTCTCCAGAAAATATCTTCGAAAATATCTCGTGGTTCTACAAGTTACCAGATACGTTCGAGGAGGAAAGAAGGGCGGCAAATAAAGCGACCGGTCACGGGGGAAATAAAGCTGGCTGATCAATTGACGAAAAACGGTTTATCTTCGGCACGTGCAACAACGTTAAAACGAATTCACAATTCCGTGGATTACCGCTTTCCATTTGACATGGCGGTAATTTGTGGGCAAAAGTAAATTTTGTATTTCTTTGAAACTTTTGATTAGTGGAATACGATCCGATAAATTGGACCTCGAAAGAGTTCGGTCAAGGACGATTCTGAGGGCGAAATTTTCGATGGATCCAGGACTGCAGGATCAATTTTGCGACAACCTGTACAGTTCCTTCGAAACACGGGACGGGTGTGATTTATTTCGCGGCGACGTAAAGCAACAACGGCGAGCAATTAACTTAATTGAAACCGTCGATGCTCGTTGGATGGCAATGATTGATTGTTTCATTACGACGGTCGCGCACGCTTAATGAATAACGAACACCGGAGTGATTCCCGATGAGATTTCATTTCGCGTATGAATAGAATCATCCCGGAGCTTCCGGGCGCTTTGTTCCCCGCGGCGATTAATCCTCCGACGTTTACCAGACTTTTGGACATTAGAAAAAGGAAAGGTAAATCCGTTTTGCAGCTCGAAGCAAATAACAAGGAGAATCGAATTAATTCAGTTATAAAACTGGGGGCTTTAACAAGTACAAGATAACCCGCTTTGCTTGTTAGATATCCACGTCTAACGATGCATTCGACGATTTGTTCGAAGGAGGATGTTAAAAAAGTGCCAAATTTGTACCACGCCAGGCGCCTAAAATATTTATAAGGCATCATTCTATAGATTCTGCACTTGGAATTGTGCACAATTGTTTATATGTGATGGGAAAGTCGTGAAAAATGTGGATGAAGTTGACGATGCTACGAAAGACGAATCATAACTTTCTGACTTCAAATGACTATAACTTCGAAGTGAATGCACGAAACGTAACAATTTTAAATGCGAAAATAAGTATCTAATAATTTAACGTAAAGTTCAAGCGACCGCGTCGAACGCATTTGACGCAAGACTTTGGGCGTCAAAATGAAAATCGCTGACGTTTCGTTTCGCGCTATAGCTATCGAAACGTGATTCCGATTAACGAAATTCCTATTAATAAAATTCACCCCGTGTCTATTGGTTCTATGCGTTCGAAAGAAAAATCTGTTTCTCCAATAACAAATCGCGAAACTAATTTCTAATGTAATAATTAAATCGAAGCATCTTTCTATCCGTTTAAAAAAAAATTCCAGGAGAGATGTACTCGTCTGTGGGCAGAGTAAATAAAACGATTCTAAACTACTATGCTTTTCCAATCTTACTATTTTCCCGAGCTCGCGTTTCCGTAGAGAATACGATTTCCCTTGGAGATTTCAAGTTCCTTACTTGCCTTCCTTCAGGGAAACGCCCGAAACGTTCGGTAAGCGCAGTCGATTGGTTTCCAACACCATTTGGCCAACAATCGAGAGAAGATCGTCGCGAGTTTCATCGAGTAACTCAAGAGCCCGGAAGTAACGACAATACCGGAGGCCGGTATCGATCATTGGATCGATCGGGACCGCGAATTTCTCACTTGTTGCATCCCACGTGAGACGGGAGATACTGCACCGCGAGAACTTCGAGCGTGTTCTCTAAACGTGACGTTATTTATACCGTATGATTACGATTCCTCGCGTTATTTTGAGCATCGAACCAATACGCAGACTCCACGCGAAAGCGGGACACTCGAACATTGCCACACTGTGGCGTTTGGGGAGTGGAACTCGTGGTAAAAACGAACCCTTAAGGGACGATTCTCGTCTCAGTGCTTAAAATAAAGCTAATTTCTAGGATTTTTTTTGAGGAGAGGTTTGAATAAAATATAATAAATTCTTTTTCATGCGTTTATGTACATATTACTTTATGATAGAAAAAGAATTTATTTACGTTTAATCATCTATATGTATAGATAGATATTACACTATACAGCTGACTCTGGTGTCAGAGGCGTCAAATGGTGGAAATCGTCCAAAACGAAAAATTCAAAATCATTTAGTTAGTTTATATCATTATGCGCCGACTGTATTACGAAAATATAAAAATACTAAATTGATAAAAATGGTGGAACTTATAAGAAGAAGTATCATTTATTTGAAGAAAAATTTGTTTTCATGATGTAATAAAAAAAAAATCGATTTTTTCAACCTCTCAGACGAAAATCTCCCCTTAAGGGGACCAGGTAGTCAGATTGAGCCATTTTATAAGGGCTTATTAAAAAAAAACCGGTTAGGTACAAATAATTTTCCTTTTGCACGATGTTTTGCTAGCTTAAAATCTATATGAATACAAATTTTGTTACAAATGTAACGAGCACTTAAACAAATAGAAATTATTTTTATTTTGCAGTGATTTCTCTTCTCCAGGTGAAGCGAATTGAATGTGCCAAACGGCAAAATACTGGGAATAACCCCCGCACTGAACCTATTTAAATATTAACAAAAATCAAAATTATGAAAATAGCGCATTAAATACGGAAAATGGAGATTTTAAAATAAAAAACTTTTATAGGTTCATATTGAGGTTCGGTGCATAAAGGAACACTTTTTACGCATGTAACAAAATTTCACGTCAATCTGAACCTTTGGCATTTAATTTCCGAATAGTATTACTTGCGAAAAGAAGTAAAAAAAAATCGATTTTCCGACTGCTTGGCCCCCTTAACTGGTATCGTGTATTCGCAATAATTAGTAGGAGCGTTTCTATATACAGGGTGTTCGGCCACCTCTAGCAAAAATTTTAATGAGAGATAGTAGAGGCCAAAATAAGACGAAAATCAAGAATACTAATTTGTTGATGGAGGCTTCGTTGCAAAGTTATTAACATTTAAAGTTCCGCCTGTAGAATGACAATCCGCTAAACAGCTGGTTCGCGCGGACGGTTGCGGCAGGCGAGTGCTAGTGGTTCTCACGCAGCATGAAAAATTCTGCTTACCGACATTATCGACAGCCTTAGATTTTTGTCCACTTATGGGAATGCGAACACCTTACGTTGAATAAGATTCAACCTGTCTTATGAAAATCCAGAAGGCCATATCAAAACTCGTCCGACGAGATTTTCACAGAGAAAGGGTGAATGCCAGACACATTTCAGTTATGTATTAAGTAGCATGTAAGAAATACAGTGATATAAACAATCAGCGAATACTTATTAAATTCCTGTTTACATTTTTAAATTGAAGTGTATTTGAAAAATTAATAACAGTTTTATTCGTAAGTAACTCGGAAGAATCGTGATACACGTACACGTAGACATTCACGAATAACATAATCGCGGTACGTGTTTATTTAATTGCATAGTGGTTAGTGCCTGAAAGGATTATTTGTGGATACTTGTGGACACTGTGGACAATCGTGGGGCGTGTATAATCGCATGTGGGTGATTTTTGTTCACAACATTGTGTATTGGAACTGGCATTCACCCTTTCTCTGTGAAAATCTCGTCGGACGAGTTTTGATATGCCCTTCTGGATTTTCATAAGACAGGTTGAATCTTATTCAACGTAAGGTGTTCGCATTCCCATAAGTGGACAAAAATCTAAGGCTGTCGATAATGTCGGTAAGCAGAATTTTTCATGCTGCGTGAGAACCACTAGCACTCGCCTGCCGCAACCGTCCGCGCGAACCAGCTGTTTAGCGGATTGTCATTCTACAGGCGGAACTTTAAATGTTAATAACTTTGCAACGAAGCCTCCATCAACAAATTAGTATTCTTGATTTTCGTCTTATTTTGGCCTCTACTATCACTCATTAAAATTTTTGCTAGAGGTGGCCGAACACCCTGTATAGCAAACTATATTAAAAAAAATAAAAGGCAGCCAACTTCCATGCACGATTGTCTTTATATTGTGCAGAATAATAGACCACAATATTGATTGCAAATAAAATAAATTTTAGTCGTTTATAGATGCTTCAGATTCTTCACTCTTATCGTGGAGTACATTGACAAAGACTAAAATTTATTTTATTTCCAGTCAATATTGTGCTTCATTATTCATAAAAACAATCGTTGAAGGAAGGCTGCCTTTTATTTTATGCCTTTTATGTATAATTCGACTATCTATAACACTTTGAATTAATTTCAATTAGTTTGAACGAAAATTTCTATTTACGATGAAAACTCCATTTTACGTGTTTGCTTCTTTCCTTCTAAAATAGACTATTATGTAAGAAATCGACGTTGATCTACGGTTTCATCACCCGCGATGACAGACTTTGCAGTGACGATAAAGTCAAAGGTCCAGTCTAAACATCTCTACAAATAACTGATCTTGAATTCGAATTTCTTCCGGATGTCATGACATTTTCCGAAGATCAAGGCGTTATTTCATGAATGGCAATTCACACGTTTCTGGATCCATTGGTCAAAGGTTTAGTCTGATCGATGTCTCGCGTCAAAGTCTGATAAACATTTTCTTTAAAACGAGTTGAATATTTTGGTACGCCTCCAACGTTAAACGTCACTTTTCATCGATCGTTTATTAATAAATATTGCTTCTTCTTTGCGTGGTTACAGTATTTCTACCGACAAAGAAACTGGATCAGCCTTGAATTTACTTTTGCAAACTTTAGCTCAAACGTTTTCCATCTAATAAAAAATAAAAAAATGTGACAAACAAACGTTAGGTGCAAGGAAAACATATGATTTATTATAAAATTCTGTCTCGATCTTTTTTCGTTTAAACTCTTCGAGGATGAATTTTATTTGAAGCAAACAACAATTTAAATATAACGTTGTGTTGTATTATTAAAAAATTTAATTACTAATCTCTACAAAAGGATAGAATTTATTTATAAAATATTAGTTAGATCGTAAAACTGAAGATCTAATAAATAAATATTATACTATGTATAATTCTATTATAATTCCTTTCATTCATAAGCTCTGTTCTCTATCTCAAATTATTTATTCCCATATAATAATAAATGAAAATTCTTAACATTTTTATTTTCAAACGTTCCAACATTATTTAGTCCCAGCTTTATGCCAATATCTTTTATGGTTCAAATGTTATTAAAAAAATATCATGAAATTTCTCGATCCAGACTGTTTTATAAAACTTAGTGCACAAAAGTAACTATTGTTACGTACTTTACATGCATCCGTGACGCAATAACAAAAAAAGAGAGTCGATTAGGACGTCATCCAGCTACTATAGATGCGCGTATTATGTCGTACACGTTTGCGGAGGTTTTACGGTGACTGGCCATTCACTTTATGGCATCGATTTGTTTGCCAACATATATGTCACGTCTCATCATAAAGAATTCTACGACGACCATAAAGAGTTAGGTTACGATCTTCCAGCGATTCCCTTGTTTATCTCGCGGATTATGGGCCATGGTCGCAGAATCGTTCTCCGCCATTTCATCAAGCCATACTGCGAAAATTTTCCTAAAGAACATAAATCTAATTTCGTTTGAAAGACAAGAAACTGTTTTCAGTCCTTTTATCTAAAATTATTAAACGTGTTGAAATCAGTAAATTTTTTTCTGGACTTTCCAGAGTACTCGTTCGTTTATTATTAAACTGATACATCTACTCAAACTTCTACGGACGTTTAAATATGCACTTAAATGATTAAGACGACCAAAACATTTTCCGTATAGCTAGTTATAACTTGAATTAAATTTCTACCAAATTTTACAACCATCTCCAAACCCAAACAATGGCATTTGATAAACTTTGATAGGCGATTTCAAAATAAGTTAACAAAAACACGTGTCGAAAGGCGAAGATCATTCTTTCTCAGCAGGAACAGGGGCGATCGTCGGGTTTCTTTGAAATTGTCGACAACGACACTGTTCGATAATGTAAAATCAACGAACGTTTGTCGCGAAAGGGTCGTCGAGTAATTTTTCCTCAATTTTCCGCCGTTCCGTTAAAAGTAAATAGTGTTCCGCGCGCCGTTTAACATCGTGCTCGACCTACCTTCCAATTTCCCGTTGTTGACGAGCAGCGAATTGTTCGACTTCCTGGACGAATTCCGTGACATTTGGCTATGGCTGGGGCTGCTATCGGTGCTCTTTTTCTCGATAACGTCGTGGCAGCTGTACGAAGTGTGCTGTATCATCAATATGGGATGTACGCTTCCTTGAACCCCACCGAAACAAGAGGATATTACCAAGCGAGTGATCGGATGACCAAATGGACGACGGAGCTTCCTGATTTATTGCGGCCCGATTCTCGATTTACTGGGCAGAAAGCGACGGGTCTAATGGACGCTCGGGGGTTCATCAAGTTTCTAGTCGCTTTTGTCCCTCTTACCCCACCCGACACTCCCGCCCTTCTCGCAATCCCGATCAATCAGGGCCGCGGGCAAAGGTAAACCGATACCCGTGATCTGCCTGCGTCTTGGATTTCGCGAAATCGTGGACATTCGTCAACGGGGATGAAAAGGTTTGCCAGGAACCACCAGGCCTCGCCGGAAACACGAAAATCGATCATAATCGAAGGACTTGATGCAATAAGTAATTTTTTATATACAGTTGCGGAGAAAATTAAGTGGACAGGCAGGGAAAATAAGTACGAATTAAATAATACATGCACTTAAGTTTTGTGTATTATAGAGGGTGTTCGGCCAACCCTGGAAAAAATTTTAATGGGAGATTCTAGAGCTCAAAATAAGACGAAAATCAAGAATAGTAATTTGTCGATTGACGCTTCGTTAAAAAGTTATTAACGTTTAAAGTGAAAAACACTATCGCGTGCACGCAGTTGTTCGCAGATTGCTGTTCTACAGGCGGAACTTTAAACGTTAATAACTTTTTAATGAAGCCTCAATCAACAAATTAGTATTCTTGATTTTCGTCTCATTTTGGTCTCTAGAATCTCAAATTAAAAGTTTTCCCAAGGGTGGCCTAACAGCCTGTATATCTTTATGATACATAGATTATTTAGCGAATAATTGAAATTAATATTTACACTCGTGTCGGTATTTATGTCGATACCTTCAATTTTTGGGCAGTTTCTCTTTTCTTTGAAATTTGGCGTCTGCCTTTTGTCGTTTATTGTTCCCCCCACATCGACAATGCATCAGTATCAAAAGAGAAAAGCTAAGAATATTAGATATCTAGATTTTTCAATTAAAAGTGTAATTCTTGAATTGTCCTGATATCAAACTTCATACTAACAAAATTACAATAACGTGAGAAGTGCATTAAAATACAATGTCAACATGCTTTCCCTCTTCGGTTATATTAAACATTTTCCTTTTCTACATAATTTTGTATCTGTATAGGAATTACGTTGCGTAACATGTATTTTGTTCTTTTTGTTAAACTTCGATAAACGCATATACAAAATAAATAAGCTCTTACACTTACGTCATTAACTTAAGTTTTGATCGTTTATAATAGAACCTTACGTGTCAACATGAATACCGACGCAGTGTACTCCCCCCCCCCCTCCCCACCAAAACCGGATATCGTCCTTTGATTAGGTTCGTGCGCGTTATGATCAAAAGATATTAATGGCAAATAGGTCGCTTTCGCCCAGAGGAAGTTAATATTACATAATGTCGCTCCGAGTTCGTACTTACGAAACGTCTACATCCATAATTGCAATTTCGTATACACTCCGTATATTCCATGCTCCAGTACAAGGTTTCTAATTCAATTTTTGCGTCGTTTTGCATTACTATAATCGTCTGATCGGTTGGTTTGTCCCGTTCGAAAGAGTGCAAATGATTTAGCTACCTGTTCGGGTCCTGCTGGATGCTTCGCTTTCCGTTCGATGGTGTCCCAGGGCCTGCAACTTTTCTGTGAGGCTGTGAATTTTATCGGCCAACGAAGAACCACCGTGACTCTCTATCGATGTTCCTCCAGGCATACCAGTGCTGTTCACGTTGCTGCTGGACGTTGTGTGGGACGTGATTGCGGCACAGCCGGTCGTCGATGATAGCACGGCCATCTCCTGATACGCAAATTCTTACTTTTATTCCCATCTAGATTTTTTAACGATTTCTTAGAAATGTTTCTTAACTCCTTGAGTGCTTATGGACGCATTAATGCTCACTTACCTCAACACAATTATCAGTATTTTAAAAATAAATTATGTTATTAGGTCGTCCTTAAGTTTGTGCCATTCGGTATTCTAAAATTGACGAAGATTTGTAATTTAACAGAAAACAAATAAAAATTGCCAGTTCAGGGTATTTCTGAAATTTTAAATATACCAACGCCAACAATTCATAGAAATTTGAAAGAAATGGATTGCATGAATATTTTTTAGAACGTCAAAGTTTTAGTGAAAAGCGTCGAACTACATTTTAATAAAAAATCAAAGAAGTTTTGTAGCGACGAAACAATGGCTTTGAAAAGAGGTTTACTGCTTTTGTACTGTTTTTACTGTGTTAAACAATATTTTTTAAACAATAATTCTTTGAGTTGGTCTCTGCGTCCTTATACAAGCAGTAGTTGCATGACACGGTTGAAAGTTGATTTAGAGACAAGTTAGTTTTAGTTGCTTTGTAACAGTAACAGAATACATAAATGTGTGTTAAACGACTCCTGCTTCTTTTTTCTTAACAACGTGTTTAAAATATTGCTTTAAGTTGCAGTACAAAACCCGTCACGAGCAATATGGGACGATCTAACATTTAAGTTAAGGTATGTTTTAAATTTTAACGTATCCAATCAAATAATTCATTAAGAGAATTATATTTATTGCGCCTTGTATAATCAATCAACAAGAGTTCGCATCAGCGTACAATTTTCCGTCTTCAACGAGTACCTACTTCAATCAGTAGTATGTAGCACTCAAAGGGTTAAAAAGGGGCGTTAAATTTTTGATTTTCAATATTATTGCGCGAGTCGAGTTCCGATCACTTCACAGTAATCTGGAAAGCGATAATTTATGACCTTCAATTTTCCAACTTTCATATCTATAACAAATTTTTTTTTTTGAAACTTCGAAATATTAGGTCTGTCAAAGAACTTTATGATCATGTGGTAGTGTTGTAAATACAAAATCGTAAAATTGAAATTAAAACTAATTATATTAATTTTTCGTTATAAAATATTAAAAGATAAATTCGTATTACATTTGGAGGTATATGAGTACCTATATTTCAGTTATTTAATCATTTCATATGCACCTCTGAAGTCGTATATAAGCAACATTCAGTTTATGAGCATTCGAACTTTGAAAAGGTTTTTAAAAAAATGTTTAAAAGCGATAAACATCAGGTTTATTTCATAAGAAAGTTTAAATATTATTAAAAATAGTGTATCAATTGGAGCTACCATCTCCTCGAGAACCTTTTAAGTACTGTTTTCGTTCTGTAAACTTTTTCTGCAGCTAGTACATATTAATTTTTCTAAACATTTGACTTTTCTTAGTTTCACAAGCAGCCTCATCGTTTACTCTGCTACTGTACCAATCAGACGAACCATCTAGCTGCGCATAAATATTTTCGTGCAATATTTTGTAATGTGCATAAGTTAAAGATATTGTATTCTTAAAGCAGTATCATATGATCCAAAAAAAAAATATATAGTTCCATTTAAAAAACGAAACTTCACCATTATAACTTTAAAATTAATAATATAAACAAAATTTTCGTTTACGCCAAAATAGAGATCCTATTTTATCTTGCAATTTACATATAAACAATTTTTTCGTGTCGTCAATAGTTATTGAAATATCGCGATTGTCACACTTTAGCATGGACACCCTGTATATGTATAGTTTCAATTCATAATTATATAGTTTTCATTTTATTAAATTTTATGTGATAAAATGTTACTCTCGTAGCATCGCATAAACTAATAGTGCCCCTTTTATAAATAAATTATTACTGAAATACTACTTTAAATATTCATTCTTTTTATTTTTTATTACAAATTATCGCTTTCCAGACCACTGTGCACCGGGGACACGTAATCTACCACCATTCTACAGAAAACTCAATGAAATCGAACAGTCGGAACACTCCTCTTACAAGAAACAGTTTCAAATAACAAAGAATTTTTAATTACGAACGTACTTTGAAAGCTTTCCCGTCGACTCCGCGCGGCACCTTTTTGACGAACGATAGAAAAAGGTGTCGCGACAGTTCGTCGGGTGTGGCGTCTTCGAGATAGGTGTCCAGGAATTTCCGAAATCCCTCGTAATCGATGTCCTGGAACGAAAGAAATTAGCAGACGATCGTGAAATAATTCTCATTTTTGGAAAATTTATGGAGCACCGATAAATATGTTGGCACGATTTCCCTTTATTTCGTAGCAGCGGCGCGCGACGATGCCTCCAATTTCCAAGCCAGTAACTTCGTTCAAAAATCGATTTCCGGAACCAAATGATCAACAGGGAAATATATATCCGTCGATAAATACAGGGTAAGTTGATTATTTACGGGAACCTATTTGGAGATTGCCGTGCACCGCGTCGCCGGATCGATGAATACTTAATTTACTTACTCGTCCCCGTGAATATCTATCCTGGAAACTTATCACGACGACGAAATTTACATTTCAAGACACCCTGATGGCGGGAACGCGAGATAAACGGTAACGGCGAGTCGGAAATTATTGGTTAAATTTACTTATCCGTTCGCTAAGTTCGTTCGAATTGAATCCTAAGTTGCTGTCGCTATCAGCAAACTGTCTAAGATTCGATAGAAACATTCTAAGACCCGTGGGATCGATACGGATGGCCAGATGGTCCGCGATATTCTGTGTCGAAGATTCCAGACTCGGGGGATGTAACGCGACTCCAATCCCAGAGGCGATCTTCGATTCATGGGACTTCAAAGGCACAGATGTCCCCAAAATTCTAGCATCGGATACTGAGCGTCCCGTTAGAGTCGCGAGCACATCAATTATTTCGAACTTAACGTTAAAACTACCGGTAATGACGGTGTATTTATTTGCACTAAAGAAATTAAAACGATAGATACTCGAAGAAACGTATTTTTTTACAATTTTTCTAAGAAATTATGAATGGGTCATTTTAACCATTTCTGTAGTTCTAGTGTTAAATGCCGAACAACGAGGAAAATATTCTTAAAAATTGTTGGAACGATTACAGAAAATGGTCGATTTTCTCGAACCGAGTTTAATCTGGAAAACTTTTTAATCCATTTTCCAAGGTTTCGAGAACCATATTAGGTACAGCTAATCCGACGACGCGCCAGTTATTTAAACTGACAACAGAATAGGTTATTCGTTATTCAATTCGCTTTAATCAAGCAATCCAGCGGTTTATCCGACGCAATATAAATGTATTAACCCGATAATAGCAGTAGCCATCTTGTAATCAGCAATGCCAAACAGTTTGCTCGGACTACCCAAACTAGATCAGAGCCTATTGTACGCGGATTATACCGTGATCCAAATCTTGTTAACGTAGAAGCTTTCTGCATACACAGAATCTATACACGGTGTTCGCGGAGAAAATGAGATTTCGTCTCCTATTCCGAGTCATCGCGCGAGACGTTTGGCAACGAGAGACAGCGCTTTATCGAGGATTTCAAACTTTAAATATTTCAATTTTACGTACTTTATCATATACAGTAGTTCGCGAAAGTATTCGAACGCTTCCAATCTATATCGTTAACAAATAGAATGCACACGTTAGGATTAAGTTTTCAAAATAAGATTGTAAGTAAAGTTACGTGGGAGTTGCGAAACTGTATACGTAAAATTACAAACACATCTGACAACAAATACTGAACTTACACGGTATTTAGTGTAAATGTACCGTTTTCGAATGCCACAAAAGTATTAAATTAAGTTTTAAATTATTTAATATTAATATCTGGTTAGTCCTCCTTTTTTGTTATTTTTTTTTCAATGGAATATCATATTTTGGGAATAGGTATAATAGAAGGTGGATAAATTTTTCAGCGAAATTAAAAAATTTCAAATCATTATGGAAAAATTATATATAGTTGCAGGGGTTAATTACAATCATTTTTGGTGAATAGACATACCCTCGAATTCCCACGCACTTTCGAGATAAAAATTCATTACCGCAAATATAATGTGTGGCCAGAGATCTGTGATTATATTCCTCGTTTTCATCACTTCGTATGTAGATAAAGTCCAATTATCCAGCATATAACATTTTAATGGGAGATTTTAAAGACCAAAATAAGACGAAAATCAAGAACACCAATCTGTTGATTGAGGCTTCGTTAAAAAGTTATTAACATTTAAAGTTCCGCCTGTAGTAACGACTTGTGAGGTTCGAAAACGGTTTATTTACATTAAAAGCCCTCTAAATTCTGTATGTGTTTGTAATTTTACGTATGCATTCTCGAGGCTCCTATGTGACTTAACTTACAATCTTATTTTGAAAACTTAAACCTAACGTGTGCATTCTATTTGTTGACGATGTAGATTGGAAGCGTTTGAATACTTTCGTGAGCTACTGTAAATAAATGAATGAAAATTTTAGCCGTTCGTGGCGCTTGACGTGAAAATATACTCGAAAAAAGATTCGACGAAAAACTTGAGGCATCGATGACACTTAGTTCGAATTAAGTTTCGCGGAGGATTCGGACGAGAGTTGCTCGATCGTCTGTTTAAAGAACTAATTGCTTCAATTGGTTCGATACTTCGTTGCGGGGGCGTACCTGTTGATCGAACGTAGGACTCCAATATTGTACGAGAAGTTGGAATATTCGGAATTGCGAAATATTATTCAGAAACGAGTTATCGTGCCGTTTTTCCCCGAACGACGAACGGCGCCCGTTTCATCTTGAATTTATTGCGTGCTTGTAAACGCGCGAACACTCCTTCGTCGAGTAACTCGTTGCTGTTAATTAATTGGTTCTCCACGCATAATATTTCGCTTTGCGCGCGACACGCGTGTACCTTGTTATTAACATAATCGATAATGATCGGTGCCTTTAAGCAAATTCGCGCGAAATTAATCAGCACTCGTCAGCCGGTGCTCGCATCCATTAAAAGTGGCGGAGATGTTTGTTTCGGCGTCAGTTCGACGATGCGTTCGCAATTTTATCACGTTAATAAATTCTTAATTAATAACTCTGTTATCGAAGTGTTTACTACAGGAAATTCAGCTGCCTAGTTAAAGGTAATTATTCTCGCAATTTCTAGCACACGATATTACGATGTAAACACTGAATGTTACAATTTTAGTAATACAAAATTGTCTTATCGTCGTGTCTTATTTTAGTTCTGATTAAAAAAGAATTACTCACGATGAGGGACATCCGTTTTGTACGCCACGGAAGAAAGTAAATTATTCAAAGACTTTTAGATAATATCCCATGATAAAAAAAAACAGTGTGTCTGAAATGCATAAGAACCGAATAAAGATACCGTTTAAAAGGGGAAAGTAGCTAATCGGTCCCTAATTGGGCGCAAAGTTAATGAGGAAACAAGCCAGTCGCGAGTCGCTAACGACCAACCCAGTTTCGCGTTTTATTTGAAGAGGGATATCCGTTCTGAAACGACATTTATCGATGTTTCTTGGTACCAAGGACGGAGGGCGTTGCCTTTCTACCTTTTCCTTCTGTTTTTTTTTTCTCTCCCAGTTCCGGGCTAAGCCCACGAATGATAAAGCTTCGTAGCCGAGGAACGGTTACAAAGGGAAAGGGAGCACTCGCTACCCCCGGCGACCAGCCGATAGCCCAACGTTCTCGTCGTATCGAAGCGTGGGAGTAGTTTGAAAGAACCGATCCGGACTTTATTACGTCGAGACGAAGTCCAAGTCGCGAGCAACAAACCCTGGAAACCTGTGAGTCTTCGTAAATATTTCCCCGAGCCGTTCGAAAGCTGTAAAATCCGTCTCCGAGCGTCAGTCGGAACGCTACGCCCTTCTAGAATTAACCAGACCTCGCGTTTCACACTTGTGAATGTTCGAGAAAATGTCGCCGGTTTTAGAAAATCGAACGATTTAAGGGAAACGGGAACTCCTTTTGGCCCTTTTCACAAATTGTCTATTCTAGTTACAAAAATTACTTGCACGGAAACTGAATATTTAACTGATACACTCGAGACTCAACTCTGTATGTAAAGACTGGAAACTGAAATTGAAATTTTTGAAATTGCTAATTGTATTGAAAAAGACAAAACTTGAATGGTTTCGAGGCGGCGGTCGTTGTTTGATGTAATTATTATTTTTGTATGTGGAGGTATAGATGACATTTGAAAGTCAGGTTTGTTTTTTCACAAATGATTCAGCTTGTCGTTCTCTGTAAGAAAGTATAAAGTTAGTTGTACCAAAAAACCTTTATATTTGAAGATATTTTAGTTTAAATATAGCTAACACTTGAGTATTGATACAACTGCAGCCATGTTTTTTTTTTACCACTTATCGATGGAGTTCTAGTTTTAATCAGAATTTCGTCGACAATGCAGGCATTGTTATGTATTACATTTTATTTGAATTGCTGTACAAGGGTTACCCGTAGTAAACGTAACAATACATAAAATACTACAGATAAATTCTACTCATTAGTCTCTATCACTTTTTAGAGATAAATACTACATTTAAATTAAAATATCTCCTAATATAAAGGTTTTTCGGTACAACTAGCTTCATACTTTCCTACAGAGAACGACGAGCTGAATTAGCGTACAATAATTACATCGAATTCAAATTTTATCCGAAGCCATTTTCAATACAACCAGCAGTTTCGAAAATTCACCTTGTATACAGAATGTAGACCGATCATCCTTGTTTCTGACGAGTCTGGAAGAAGATAGTTCAATTGTTATTTGGACGACGATGGTTTCTGGACGTTGCCCTCCTAGATGATAGGAGATGTTGCTCGGATGACGGCCTCCGCGGCGAAACGAAAATAGCAAAGATGCCACGAACCGTATCGTCAACGAACGATAGGAATTTCCACGAAGGAACGAACCGCCCTAGCCCACCCTACCGACTGTACAGCGAAATTCTTTCCGGCAGTCGCGAATAAAGAATCCGTATCGCGGATTATCGTCGATCCAACGGTAGGAACATTCTCGGTAACTGGGTCACGCTGGTGGAAGGAATATCCGCATGAATGAGACAGGACACGGCCATTAAGCTTTGGGAAGAGACACAGACCAAGGGACTCGTGAACGGCGGGGAAGGGGAAAGTTTGAAGGGAGAGAGAAACCGGGTCGTTCTCAATGGTCACGTAAAGGAGTGCTGGTGACGTCAGCG